CCCATCCATGTGTGATGAGGGGCTTTAGAAAGTTCAGGTCTACCAGAGGTAATTATGAAGTAATGGTTTGTGTTTGATTGATGACAACCTGAGAGTCTTACTTCAGTGCTGGAGGATAAGTATGGTAATACTGTTCTAGAGGGGAGAGCCCAAGGTTCCCACACCACAATGTTCTAACATAGGGATAGGGACTCTGGAACAAACATGACAAATAAAAGGATTGTCTGAACACAGGTGTAACTGTTCCAGTCTCATGATTGTTGTTACACGCTCCATAACCAGGGATGCATTATAAATTCACAGTTTCCCAATGTTCTAAACAGTGGCTTTCACGAGGAAGACGCACTTTTTACTGGGATTCAATGCTTCTATATGTCAATGAAATGGATCATGGATAATATTGGGCCACTTATTTATAGAATCATCAATCTGACATAGAAAATCTGGCTTTTCTCACCCTGAGGTAAATTGCATGAAGAAAAACCGAATGAAAAATTCTTATTCCCAAATTAACCATTTTTCTTCACACCGTAAATTGGCACCTAAGCATATTGCTTAAAAACCACAATGTTGTGGGTTCCACTCAGTTGCAAGTGACCCCTCTTTTGGGAGTCATTAAATCTGGTGAGACTCCCCACATTCGGCATGACCTAGCCCCTGACAGGCATCAGTCATCACATAACCTGCAATAAACCTTTCATCTAGGCTGGATGCCATCGAACAGTTTTATGTGAAATCAATGTACTACCATCCATAGATCAATCCACGCTCTCTCGCCTGGCATACCTGATAAATTTTTCATGGCCACTGAAAAGGCGTAATCTTCTTTAGCTGTCTTCAGAATTGATTTTCCCGTTCTTATCTATTTTCCACCCAGTGGAGGGATTATTTTCTGATTTCCCCACGCTTCCTACGAGAAGTAGGAGAATGTATCAGGTCTGAGAATGACTGTACAATATCAAGATCCTAAAACTGCTATCAACATGATTAGGAAGACTCCTTATGACTCATTAAATGACATGTTTGCTACTATAATCTGAAAAGAAAAAGCTACTGTAACAACATTATCATAAATGTACGTATTAATCACCATGTCCGGTCTTTTTTACAGGCATTTGTGAACAAGATCGTTTGATGATAGATGATAACGATGATGTAATGTAGGTAACAAGGAATGCAGTTTTATAAGTCCTGTACACTTTTATCAGACGTAAAGTACTACCTGAAATCTCTCAAGAGTCAGAGTCAATTGCTCTGAATGTAAATGTAGATACATTAGCCTACTGGGAAAGTTATGGTGATAAAGATAGTACTAGTATTCCACCAGAAGAAATTTTGATATTTAGGACTGTACATTGTTCTATAGGATGACTCACAAATGTCACTGATTCCATTTCATTGATTTATGAGAACTGTTGCGGCAGCCACACATGACGCATTCCGTCTTTTATTGAATTGAGAGAGACCTTTGTCGGCAGGGAGGTATACAGATGGCCTGGATGCAAAACTGTTTCCAGGGCCTACTCTTACATTTCCAGTACACAGGCCAGCTTCTGGGCTCCAAGGGCTAACATGCTCCCAAGGAAATTCTACAACAGCTTCAAGAACCAACAAAGCAAATTGACTTTGCCTCTATTAGGCTTTATATAATACGACTGCAATGTCTAAACAGATTTAAATATCCTTTATTAGTATAGGTTTTTGATATCAGTTAATTAAGTCCCAAAGTCCATCAACATTAGAAGAAGATGATTTTTCAAGGAGGCATACATATTTTGATGTCAATCATTACATCAAATATTAGGTTACATTAAAAAAAATCCTTTTAATGATGACAAAAGACTCATACACGACATTAAGGTCACTAACCTGGCTGATATGCATTATTGATGAAAAGCTGGTTAATTGGATTTAGGGGAATGAAAAATTGTGCTGATTTATTATGAATCTGATTCAAATGTACAGACTATCTGTTTGCACCAACCAAGCAGTGATGATATGTAAATACATAGGTTTTGCTGACACAAATGACTTCATGTTGTGGACATTTTTTTTTCTGTGCATCTAGGATATAGGTTACGTGGATCAATTTACTGATTCTCAAAAATGAATTTCAAGCATTGTTTTCATTTGTTCCACTTTTGTTAATGCAATACACTGGGATATCAGACTCTATTAAAACCAAGGGTGTGTACAATACAGATGACAGTGGATATTGTCAGTGTTCTTTTCTCTGGTCTTGTCTTTAGAGAAACACTCTCTCACCTCATGACTGGAGGTCCAAGGACATGGTTCACTTGTTTGGTCTCACAGGGTCCTTAAACATTCCCACTAAGCTGACAAAGGTGGCCTTAATGGCACACACTATTAGCACAGGTGTACATTGTGTACAGGTACAAGGATTCCCCGTGCCTTAAACAACAATACCCCAGCTGTGCACCTAAAACCAATCTGTAGTCACATCTGTATGGCTAAATTACTTACAGATTCATTTAAGGTCACTGTTAATCTCCCAATTGTATGTATTGTGAGCTTTTTATTGGTCCTTGCCCTCAGTTACTTTACATACAGTCCTGTGGTATGTGTAGGCTTGTACAACCCAACATTACCCTTTCATCATTTCTGAAAACTGGCCCCTTTATTTATCTAAAGCAAGGCCTCAATATTTTCTCTGCATCCTTTAATCCTTTCGAAAATCTTGGTTGAAGAATACTTGGTTGAAGCCATCCTGACATCAAATGGGCTGCTGACCCCAACCTTGAACCTCAGGAAACCTCTGTGCAGCATAAATTTCTAGCTTCTGTAAAAGTCTTATTTCCACCGGGTGGCTTCTTTTTCATCTAGGACTAAGGTGACATCCAGGGCCCTTTCGAACTATTCACCATTTCCAAACCTATTAACCCAGCTATTCATTTTTCTCCCTCATTCATCTAAATTCTGGTTTTGAGCCAAGATCTCCCAAGCTTGTCTGGAACGGAAGTCAGGCTGGGCAACAAGGAATTGAGTGGGCATGTTGACAGTGTTACTGGGGAAAACAAGCCAATCCAAATCTAGGGCTGTAAGCTCTCTACAAACACGAAATGGAAGATTTGATGACTCCATAAAGCAATTAGGGTTGTTGTGCATTTCTCGTTTTATTCAGTGTTATTCACTGTCCTGCACATGCAATCCCCAAGTTCCGTTCCTCCACAGTACCTTTCACTTCCTACCTGCCTGCAGGGAGACCATTGTGACTTTCAACTTGACCCTCTTGTCAATCTGCAGTTACATAATCTGTCCCTGCCTTCCTGCAACTCTACTGCCTTCAAATATCTACAATACAATGTACCACCGTAACCAGAGGTAATAAAAGAGTGTGTACCAGAGAATTTCTTTCAAAACAACATTGTAGCTAAAGAGAAAGATGCTGAATTTGGTACAGATGTACATGTAGTAGCAATAGCATTTATATCACACCACGATATGGCCAACACCCCATTTTCAACTTTACTTTAAAAGACAGTATTTCCCAGTGCTGTCTAGTGTCTTATTTGTGCAAGGTCGTCTTCTATTACATTATTCACCAGCGTAGAAGAGGTCGATAGTCCAAACCCTATTCCAGCTCAAGTTGCCCTGTCTTTTGTTGTAGAAAATTGCCAAGCATGATCTGATGTGCAGTTCAGTCACCAGCCATGTTTATTGATAATAGCGCTCTAACCCTGCCCTCTTCGACCAGCAAAAACAGTTACCGGGGTAGCAGGTTTCTCACACTGAAAGGCTATCTGACAGCAGGGCATACAGACTGTTTGTGGAATTGGCCAATTTCAGCAGTTATATCCCAATCTGCCATCGTTTGTCTGAACAAGAAGCTGGGGAAAGTAACTTGAATCGATCTGCAGTTGGGCAGGCTCTGTAAGTGCGAAATTGCAGCTATCATTCAAACCTTGACCGTCAATTTGGCTGGTGGCTCATGACTTGTTTAGGTAAGTAACCTGGCAGGTCAATATTGTTGAAGGCTCAAAGGAAGCCACACAAATGCAGATGTTACACATACATCATACGGTATATTGAGCTGTCAAGCTACCTTCCTGAATGATCAACACAAACTTTTGACAGTTTTTCTAATCAGGGAAAAATGAAGAAAATCACGCAAACAGCATGCCTACTACTTGAAGAAAAGCTGATCAAATCATCTAATTTAAATTATTCTAATATCTATTTCAATTACATTTTTCTATTTACTATTCAAAGATACAAAGGTTTATTGAAGTCATTGTTCAAATTGCATGTTGTGGTTTGAGCAAGTATAAAAAGATTGAATAAAAGTTAAAGACGAGCCTCTATACATGTATGAAGCAACTGAACACCACATGTAATAATAACAATACTAACCATGATAATAATATCCCTCCCTCCTTTTACAATCTAAATCTGTGGCTGTATCATATCATTCCTATTGTAAATTACATGCGACCATTTCCCACTTCGTTTTCCTTTTTTTTCCAAACCTGCACTTCAGGCAAAGCCACAAAGGCTCTGACAATCTGCCTTGCATCTAAATAACATAGCCCAATCTTGCATAGAAACAAGGACATTAACCCACCCAAAATAGAAGCATCTAATGGACCGTCCCCACTTGTCCAGAAAAGCAAACTGGCGGGGGCTGGGTTGGTAATTCGGTATCTCTGACTGTCTGGCTGTAATTGCTTAGCTAAAGGATCAGGCATGGATCTTACAACAAGGGCTCTTTTCTTGTGCTAACAGATCAGATTGCTACGATAACATAGCGCATTCCATGATTCCTTTTGATTATGTAATAAGCCCGTCAAAACGACTGGTGTACAAGAAGTTTATGAGTTGATATGACGGGGGACGTCATCTTTCAGAAATTTTCATATTTCATGCGAAAAATTGATACGTATTCGTAAGTTTCCTTGATGTGCTTTTATACAACCCGGAAATTAATCCTTCGAAGAAATCGAACTGAACTAAATTTAAAACGACTTGAAAGGGAAGCGTACCCATTGATGCTGGACGTCCCAGGCCTCCCGACCGACAGAGTCCGCATAGTTGGAGCCCTGCTGGTGCCGGTGCCTCTTGTAGTAGCTCGCGGCGTCGGTCGCCGCCAGCGCCGCCAACAAAACGCACACCACTGCCGTTCTCATCTACGGGAAAGATGTGTGCAGTGAGAAGTACTGAAATTTGCTAATGGTTCTACAAAACAGACTGATAGCAGGAGACAACCCTTACCATCGTAGCTGACTGGGGCGGAGGGGTCAGTCAATGTGCCAGATTCGCAGAAAAACAATGATCAGCTTTCGCTGTCAAACCCGTGGCCGTCTGCTACTACGTACAGGAATGACCTGAAAACAAACCATTTTTATAATAAGTTAAACTCACAAAACAATCTTATATTACATGAACTGACAATCAAAATATATTCAATACATTTTAATATGATTTTGTATCTGATTTATGTGCTCTAACTTATTGTGTACTGTGAAGCAGAAGGATAATACAAGAGAATGGAAAGTCATACCTCCTAATAACGGTGTTAGAGCAGGAGTAGCTACTGCTGAGCGATTGGTCGAACGGATTACCCAGATTACGGAAGGTCGACACCGATTGGTTCAGAGGAATTTGGAGCTTGCATATCACTTGTACATTTCATGATTGGCTGTTGAAGTTTAGGTGTTGTATAATATTGGACGCACCGTTACATCATTGAAGCAGATGTTGGGGCGAGAAAACCCAAGACGCGTACGTTTTCACTCTGTGCTGTTTTTCAGGAAAAAAATAATTTGGCGAAATTGGCGAAAGGCCTAGGGTTGATAATTTGAGAGAGAAAAATCAGGGGATAGCTCTCATCCAGTGGCTCTCATCTGACCATTTGAACCTCGAGCTCCTTGATCTGACCAAGCACTTCTTTTGATCCTCCTTGATCTGACATATATACTTATGCCCCAGTGATTCTAGATATTCTTGAGCTCTTTCTGAATGTTTTATCTTATTCCAGTACTGGAGTAGCTGCATGCCAAAAATTGATTTGATTCTTCTCTTGCGTCCTTTGCATAGGAGTGAGTAAAAGTCCAAGTCATGTTAACTAGTGTTTTCTAGATGGGTATATGCTCTGCAGTCTTGTAGAAAACCGCTTAGTGTCGCTTGTGAATGGGGGTACTGAAATGCTCTCAGAAAAAGTAACGCTAGCTACGAACTGAGCAGGTAGGTTCTCACCCGGTGACCGTGTACGGTTATGAACGATGCTTTCACAAACAAACATGAAATTACTGAATTGTTGGCGTGATGGACTTTTGGGTCCCCTGGCAGGTTTTCCCTGAACTGCATCTCTAACGTTGCTGAAACAGGACAGCCCTCACTGTTATGAACGGATTTGTAAAATGTTTGATACCCGTTCTTTATCTTTAAAAATTCGTTGAGCAACCCGTAGGCGGAAAGAGTATGTAATCATTTCTAAGTAACACAGACCGAAAAGGGCGCAGCTCGTACTTTGATCCTATGTGTGTGACCACGCCGCAAAACTACACACCTGACGTGAACTTAGGCCACGAAAGTTAGACTTCATATCAAGGTTCATAGAGACTGTTCCATCGCACTATCTAATCATCATGGTCCAATATAGATACTTTTTCTCGGGCATCATCAGTTTAAACTGTCTGGGACCTCAGTCCTGCTGCAATGGAATGGTTAAGAATGTGTGCTTGAGGAAATTAAATACCATAAACAAAGGACTGACACATGTAGAGATGAAGAAGACAAACTCACACACCCACACACTACTACGATACGTCACCTTGCATCATTTTTCGATACCTAAAAATGTGTTGCTAAGATGTGAATGAAATGTAAATATGATCGTTTGACTACAAAGTTTGGCTTATCTGAGAATATAGTACATTGACCTGTGACGTTGCGTGTGTAGCTGAGCGCCACAGATATGTGACATCAGTCCCCGGTACAGACCAAGATGGCGCGACGGTTCCCTGTGCCACGGTTCCCAGTGCCTCTATTGGCCCTAGCTGCCGTTATCACCTGCAGTCTTGGTAAGAACTATTCAATTCATCCTCAAACGTTTGTCTGTCCCGATCAGGAATCGATTCTATGTCGTTGAGAAAAGGTTGGAAAACAGGCTGTATACGCACACTTTACTGTTGTATACGCAGTCCGGGACTTAAATCAGTGTGGTAAAACGCAGCATCCTCTTTCAAAGGTTATAAACCACTATAAATCGCTAGCTCAAAACTCTCTAGCTCAGAACAAACTGAAGGGAATATACTATTGTGTTAAAAATGTTCAAAGATTAAGGTTCGTCGAATACATAAATGTATTTTTAGTACGATTCGTTTGGCATAACATTCCGTAGCTATAGTCACTATTCTGATTGGTCTCTGTGTAATCATTGTATTGACAAACTTAAAATTCATGTTGTTTTAGAGTACTGTCTGTAGTATACTAGTATTGAATCAATGTAGTTGATACTACTGGTCACAAGAAACGATGTGACGGTGCCTATTATACCTGAGTGAACAGGAAAACGGTAGTTTTAAGCTTTACCAGTAGCTATAAATGTTGGCTGTCCTGATCAGTGCCGACACGTGACGCAGGAGCAAAGATCGTACTTTAGTTTGCAAACTTTACTTCGGTACACACTTCTCCGCTGTAAGGTTATCTGTAGGGTCATCTTCTGCACAGGTAACTATGGTGTCCACTGACTCTGGAACCCAGGCCCGACCCTCTCTTCTGACCCCGGCATAGTCGCGTGCATATAGAGCAAAGTGTCCCGGCGCTAATGTTTGCAAAACTCTTTCCACACAAAAAAGTTTAGAAGCTTGAATCTGATCAATAATATTTCCGTTATAACTTAATCATTTCTAAAGTATCACATTTTGATGGAATTTGTGTTTTTTTTAATAATCTGAAACTCAGGCACGACCCTCTCTTCTGACCCCAGCATAGTCGCGTGCATATAGAGCAAAGTGTCCGGGCGCTAATGCTTGTAAAACCCTTACAATACAAAAAAGTTTAAAAGCTTAAATTTTTTCAATATTTCCTTCCGTTTTACCTTATTCAATTGTATAGTATCATATTTTACTGGAAGTTGTGGATTTTTTATAATCCTACATTCGAAAGTTGGGCATAAGCTGTTTAACAATAATATGACACATCATGTTAATCATTAAACGACAACGGACATACAATCAAGGACACCTTTCTTTCGCGATCTGTATGCTGATCATACTACTGTAAATGCATTTTTGTTCGCGATAGTTTTAGCTTCGCGATATTCGCGAAGAACTTTTTGTCGCGAAGTCATCTCCTCGCGAACAATTTTGTTCCATACCGCATTTACAGAACGATGTTAATAATATTCCTTGGTTAACAACAGAAATGTGATTTTCTTTTTTTAGCCTACCGAGACAACCAGGGCACTGAGTTCATCCTGACGTTTCCGGAAAACTTCCAGAGGCAACTACACAACCCAAAACTGTTCATCACCACCCAGTCTTTGACCGGGGCGAGCGTGACCATCTCACTCCCTTCTACTGGCTTCACCACCGGAGTCACAGCTTCCTATGGCTCCGTAAGTTGTCGCTCAGTTTGGATATCTAGATTTATTTTATTAGCCATTCGTTTGACAATATGAGAGCTTTGCTTCACTCTCTTTCGAGGTACATCCGGGGTCGGAAAAGTTACAGGGTCTGTGTGTATGCTTGTCCGGGCAAAGTAGGTTGACAGCACATGGTTCGGGTAGGATTGACAGGCAGAGCGACAGGAGGTCAAACAAAAGGTCAGGCACAGGAAATGGAATGAACTTGAAGTTGCTATATCTCCGATTTTTTTGTTCTAACAGGTGACACAGGTGGAACTGGACCGTGCGGCCGTGGAGCTCCGCGGCAGTCAGAAGAGCGACAAGGCGGTCCACATCACCTCCAATGTGGAGATCGTGGTGTACGGAGTGTTCGCCGAGCATGCCTCGTCTGACGCCTACCTGGCCCTGCCCACCGACGTGATGGGGATGGAGTACTACGTCCCCTGCACAACCATCGTGCGCAACTGGAACGAAGAGGGATTTGTGGACATTCCGTCTGGTAGGAATGAATGAATGAATGAATAAATGAATGAATGAATTTTATTTCATCCGGTGGATTTTATTTCATGGGCTTCATCTCGCTACATTTAATGATTCAGCATGAAGGAACGCCCCCATGGTCAAGGTACAGGCCAGTTGGTATTTGAATGCAATAGATACGGTACGAAGGAGTGGTTACAGCCGATTGACCTTAAGGTCAAGTTGGAAGGAAGTGATGACTACAGTCATACAGAATCAGACACGTCCCAGAAGCTACTGACCGAGAGTCAGTGGGAAGCTTAGGGCGACGCGGTCTCTCGGCCAGGTGGCAGTTGGAAAATGCATAGAGAAATTCACAAAAACTGTAGGTACTTCACGGATGTTTAAACTATACGTTTGTTTTTGCAGAGTTTGGAATCGCCGGTATCCGTGACGGGACGACAGTCACCATTTATCCCAGCCAAACCGTGACGTTCGACGGGCAGAACTACGCCCAAGGACAGCCCTTCACCGTCCAACTCAACCGGTTTGAAACACTCCAGGTACGACGCGTTATGATGTTCAATTGTGAAAGTTTATTGCAAATACATGTACATACCCGAGGGCTAATTGCAAATACAAACAACACGCATGAAAAAGAAGATACAATGATATGAGAGATAGTATGTGTGTTAAGTATGAGAAGCCAAAACGTCAAACACAGAAAATGGGGGTGAACTTGAACATAGAGTGATAGGAGATCTGATGGTCTGACAAGGGAAATGGGGTGAACTTGAAGGACACGGCACCCCAAAATAGTTCCTGGAAGTATTAAACCTCCAATTTCTTGTGTTTTTGGCGACACCTCAGGGCTTAGCTGTTTGTATAGTACTGCGATCGAGTTGAATATATTCTAAAAAATTCCGCGAATGCATTCCGTAGGTTTTTGTCAACACCTTGTGGGACCAGGCTTTGCACATAGCAAGTAGGAAGTCTAATGGTTGGCTTGTTCTATCTGCCGATGTGTGCAGGTCCAGTCGACCGAGGACCTGACCGGCTCCAGGATCACGGCTACCCAGCCGGTGTCCGTGCTGAGCGGAAACCTGTTCGCCGTGATCGGGAACGGGCAGTCCGGCACCGGCGACCACGTGGTGGAGATGATCCCGCCCGTGGACACCTGGGGGAAGGAGTTCGTCACCACGCCGCTCACCAAGCACACCGGCGGCGACCTGTTCCGTGTGGTGGCCGCCAGGGACTTCACACAGGTAGGTCTAGATCTAGACAAGCATGTTGGCAGAACGTACTGCGCATGCATGAAACCCGGATTTTTCGCGGTTTTCGTTGGCTGTTTGGTCAACGTTGCGTCAGAATTTTGCCCGTTGCAGACGATATCTTTTTCGATACAACATTTGAAACTATAGACGGGATGCCATTCTTAAATACACGAATACGACCTTAAACGAGACGTTCTGCCCAAGTGCCATGCACAATACGTTACGGGTTTCACCTAGGCGTAGAGCGTTATGCAGATGTGCTATCTAAACACTACTTTTGTTCGGCCAATTTCTCGAATATCTATAAAAAATCCTCACGGTGAAACCTTTGTCTGTCTTTCCAAGGTTGTTGTGACCAACGAGAACACGATGACTCTGAACGCCGGGGAGTGGTGGGAGTTTGATGTCCCATCGAATGAGTACAGGCACGTGACCAGCAACGAGCCGGTGTTGCTGGTTCAGTACAGGTAGGGACATTGACAAACAACTCCAACATGGTGTACTATAGCACTCCTGAGTCCTGTGTCAAAATTAGTCATTTGGAGCTCAAATTTAATGGCATTATGAGGGAAAGATCTAACGAAAGTAAAAGTGTACAACAATTGTAGCTAATAGGTACAGTCTCATTAATCTAGTACAATCTACACATATACTTAAGGTTAAACATATAACTTCAGAGCTATACAATGTTGATGTTGATACTCAGTATAAATGCGCCCTTCTAACCCCCGTGCAGTAAGACTGGTAAGGTCGACAATACAGAGACCGACCCGTTCATGATGGTCATCCCGCCCGTGGCCCAGTTCGAGTCCGAGTACACCTTCGCCACCGTGGACCTGATCGCCGACCCCACCATCTCCACTCACCACGTCAACCTGGTCATCAGGTAAACTTCTACACGTTTAACCTATCATTGTGTGCCCTTTGGAATTTGCTTTTACACATATTTCCTCATCGCACTCGTATTCTTCGGTTAGGGACATCCTCTGATGGGATGCAAAGCTAGTGGCCTCCTGTTTGAGGAGAGCTAGCCACACCTCGAGCACATTAAATATCTCACCACATATCGAAAAGAGTAGGTGTCTGCTATGACGTAGGTTGTATCTACTGTGCAATGGTTATGCGAAGCAAACCAAAGGAAAGTCGCAGGTATAAGATCATCATATGAATGTGTATAATTTGTATATTATTTCAATTCCATCTCACAGGGCAGCTGACAAAGCTGGTCTCCGATTGGATGGAAAAGTGTTGCCAGGCAACACGGTGTGGCACGCCGTTCCCGGGACCAACTACGAGGCCACACTGCTGACCATCTCCGGAGGTACCCACAGAGTTGTCCACATCTCTCCCATCGCTACCTTCGGTCTGTTCAGGTAAGCCACTGGATTACAGCACAACATTGGGTATTCGTGAATGGACAGGAGCTGTGGTGGGGTCTGTGTGGCATAATTTAATCGGGTACACAGTCTACAGGTTACTGAATTTCCAATTTACATCACGCTTGCTGGGTCACTTTCAAATTGGAGGTCAAAATGGTCTCCCGCGGGATGGGAGGATGTGGCCGTGGCATATGCACAGAATCAAGAAGAATTACGAAACTCTTAATGACGAATAGAACAAGAAATCTCCAACTCTTCACGGAGGTGTGAAATCCTCAATTTCTTGTTTCACAAGTAACGTTTGACGTGTCCAATCCACTCACTCCCCCGCAGCTATGGCTACACTCAGCCGGAGTCCTACGGCTACCCAGGCGGGCTGAGGCTGGCTCAGATCGCCGCCTTCTGCAGCGTCACCAACCCCGTCGCTAACGACCGCGTGGATAACGACTGTGACGGCCGTGTGGACGAAGAGCTGCCGAACGGCGTTGATGACGACGGCGACGGACTGATCGACGAGGATATTGCTAGCGGTGAGCGTACTTCCATACATACAGCCTCATAAGATATCAGGTGCTGGTTATAATTAGCACTTTGGTGTTCGTTCGTCCCTCGTGGTCGACGTTGACCAATATCCTTGGACTCTTCACGCGTCTGGGCTGCTGATCCGGAGATAATGAAGCGGTTTTGTTCTTTCTAGTAAATATCTTTAATCTCTAAAAACTAAAGTACTACAATACGATTCCCAACAATCACATCATAGTACATGTATTGTTAACGACCCCAGAAGGGAACAAAAGCTGAAAAATGGACGGCTCTTGTATTCAGGCTACTATAGATGCTCTCTCAATGTACTATAATCTATAGGGAGATCGGTGGCATTACTAGGAGGATCACAATCTAAACTTAAGATATAAAGGGTTGGATATGCAATTGCAAAACAAAAGAGATGCTATAGCATCCGATGTATTTGTGTGGTTAAAGGTGGCCAAAAAGCAAAGAATAAAGTTCAAGAAACTTTGGCGCAGTTTTGTTAATGATGTGTGGTAGATGCCTGCATCAATAAATATTGATGATTGAGGTTTTTCTAAACCTGCGACATCTGTACCTAACCTCTGTAGGTACCTGCTATGACGACAGGGAACAGTACAAGGTCTGTGTGGAACAGCAAGTCCAGAACTGTAAGAACCAGGTTCTGAACACCCTCGGCGTGATCAAGAGGTCTAAGAGGGAGGCCCAGCCAGCTGTGGAGTACGGTAAGTCAAATCTGAGGGGAATAAATTATGGTTTGTACACAAGTAGCCTTCGTCTTAGCTACCTGAGTGCGTTACCACTTTGTGTTGTACTATCTTCCTTAATGTGTGAACAATAAAAAAAGTAGCCTTAACTGTTATAATTAGAACATAACATTTGCAATAACAACATGTGGAATGTATTACATAATTTTAGCATAACACTCGACATGCATGTATTCGTTTTTTTTTTCAGAAACACCAATCAGGTACTCCTACGGAAACCTGGTGGCGGCTGTTGGTGTTGTGGCCTGTGGCTCCATCATGGTGATTGCCATGGCAACCATCTACCTGAAGGAGAAGCGCCGTCTGCAGTGAGAGCTAGGCTGGCCAGGCCTAGCAGCGCCACCTTGCGGCCATGTGCGAGACTTCACATGATCTTCTATGACGTTGTTAAACAGTGCTGTACACTAATGAACTATGATCTGTCAACATTGAATAAAGCTAACGTCTTTGATTTCCAGAAGCCAATACTCACCTTTAGATAGGTGAGTATGAACGAAGGCGACAACTGGCTTTGGAATTTTGTCAACATTTGAAACATAATGGTCTCTGGATTATTTTTGATGGATAAGTAGGCCAATCGAGTCTTCAGCAATGTATATGTATAAGACACTGCACTGAGACACGAATAAAACTGAATTGTGTTAAACCAAAGAAGTTTTGTATTCCTGCACGCTTTACACCCTTTCCTGTACTCTATTTAATTGTGACAAACGTCATAAAGTTTAAATCAAATGTTTCTAACGTCATAACATAGGTCCCGGTAATGTTAAGTCATAACGTAAAAGTTGGAGGACAAGGACGAGTGGAGAAGAAGAACCCATTGTCTCCCCTGTTGACATCCTACGATGTCCCCGTTCAAGGTTCAATGTTCAACGTAAAAGTTGTCCTGCTAAGACCTTCCGCTATCTATGAATTGCTTCTTTCCAGAGACAATTATAACGTTGGTGCCCTCTTTCATATTCGTCGTGAGTTTGGTGGATGGGGGTTCAGCACCAGGGGCAGGGGATTACCATGCACAGGCCTCATTGCACACCACTCGCGGGACATCTGGAGATCACATAGCCTTAGACAAATCCATTTAGATATGGGTAACATTGTGGTGAGAACTTTTTATATTCACCAGAAACAAGAAATCTATTCAAACTTTAGTACTCAAATTTATTTCATGTATATATTTCATAGTTTTAAATGAGATATTTGATAGCTATATATAATTTTTTCACGCCCTTTGTGATTGATACTTGTCTTGTGTAGTAATCTTACTATCCTGTAGAAATAGTGGACTCTTCTATTACCACGTGACTCGCCTTACCCTGACGTCACTTCCAAACAACAACTGTGACCTCGGAGCCGTCCCGAACTGCGGGGGCAAAACGCCTGCGTTGGCTGGCCTACGTGCTAAAACGTCGTCAGAAATATCAACTGTGATCTGAACTGTACACTTCGAGCAGAAGCGATGGAGTCGCTGCCCAAGGAGGAAACCCTGCAGCTGCGGCTGAAGCACTACGGGTGAGTAACAGGCTTCCCGCCCGGAGCTTTGAGTGAGGGGTCCCGGGATGGTGCCCCGCGCCGCGCACTCGGAGTCCCGTTAGGTCGCTTTTCTTTATCCTCTGAAGTCCTTGAAAATAAGTTAGGTTAGCGTGTAGCTTTATGTTGTTTCCTTGTCTGGAAGGTATATTTTGTGCTGGGAAGTTTGTAGTTTTGAAGTTGCAAAAGCCTAAAATTTTAGCCCGCCACGAGTAAACATGCACAACAGGCTCAGCTGGTTGACCCAGATCCCGACCCAAGGATTTCGCAATTCTGCAAAATTCTAAATAAATAATCGGGCTTTTTGCCAAGGATTGGACAATGTACAACGTCTGCAGTGTCATTTCCACACGTATATCTTACATTTACATTCTTCTACCGTTGTGGTGTTGCGGGGAGTTCTGATTTTGCGTCATATAGCCTGGTGACCAGGCCACCGTGAGCTCCCTGCTATCTCTACGGTGCTTGTTGTCTTGCCCTCCCGCCCAGGCCCATTTACCACACGCGGTGAAATTTTTACGGTGTTGGTAAAGGTCGGCTGGAAAGATAGGCTGTCAGAAAAGGGCCTGTATAAAGTCCTGTAAAGAAAATACCAAGATAACAATTGCAAATTGCAATCTTGGAGGATATTTTTTTCTACATTTGTCCTTCCACTGTCCTGATTTATGATGGCAATTATCTCACCTGGTTGAACATGCCCTTCCCTTGGGAAAGGCACTTAAATTATCTAACTTCACTCTGGTGAAAATGACTATCTGACCAAGGTCCACTTATAAGTTATAACCTCCTTGCTTGGACGATTTAGTTTTATACATTTTCTTACAAGTTATACATTGTATTCTCCAGCCTGTTGATTTAGTAGTAAGTTGTAGAAGACCATACAAAAGTCCCTGTACTTTTTTGTTGTGTCAATAAAGAATCATTTCATCATTTAATAATAAAATGTGCACCGTTCCTATAAAATGACCTTGGTTATCTGTTCCTGCCATTCTTCCAGACCTTCCTGTAAGCTGTTTTTCAAGGAGAACCCAATCAAGATCGTCCGTGCAGAGGGACAGTACATGTATGATGAACAGGGGAAGCAGTATCTGGACTGCATCAACAATGTGGCACATGGTATGGAGCAGCTTTTCACCTATTGTGTCTGAGGGCTTTCTCTCCAAATGTAGGGTTTATTCAAAACAATCATGATACAATAGCAGCCATTATGGGCTGAAGTGGAATGTTTATTGTACTAGTAAATTGACAATGCAATGCAAGTTTAAAAAGGTTGACAGCAGTTGACAGTCATTTAAAACCAATATGATGTACACAAAGGTGAAGGTTATTTGTGGTGTATGCAGATTTATTATGGACAGTTTTTTATTTATCATGTACATGCACCTCTAGCCCTATTTTTATAAAGATCAGAATAGTATTACTTAGCACGTTACTATGTATGGAGGATGTGCGTCAATGATAGCAGATTTTCTTTGTTTTGCTTGGCATATACTGCTTAGACAACTAAGCCCAGTAAGTTTGGATCAGACAACTTAGAGAAGGAAACAATTTTAAACCTTTTCTTTGCTGAGGGTAGCCTTGTTGTCACTACATTTATATGAATGGTCATAGGGCAGGCAGCAGAAAGCTGTATAGATATCTGAATATCTGAACTGTTTGCTAAATGTTTTTTTCAGTGGGCCACTGCCACCCTACAGTTGTTAAGGCATGCACAGAGCAGATGTCGGTGTTGAACACAAACTCCAGATTTCTCCATGACAACCTGGTGACGTATGCCAAGCGCCTCACCGCTACACTCCCTGACAAACTGTCTGTCTGCTACTTCGTCAACTCTGGGTAGGCCATTCATGTGTCATGTTGTTGCATTGATTGCAATTGCAAAAGGTATAATCTGGTGACTTTTTTTTAGGCTGTGCCTAGAGTGTCCTACAGCTCACAACTACAGAACTGAGTGAGAGAGAGAGAGAGAGAGAGAGAGAGAGAGAGAGAGAGAG